AAGTCTCACTTTCTTACCCCTGGTAGAGTGCTGTGGCATCATACCTCACAGCAACCTCAAATTCTTGGCCTCAAGTGATCCTCTTGCCTCGGTCTCCCGAGTAGCTAGGACTACAGGTGCCTGCCACAACACTCAGCTATTTTTTTGAGACAAGGTCTTACTATTTCTGAGGCTTGTCTCGAACTCCTGAGCTCAGGCAATGCACCTGCCTTGGCCACCCTTCCCTTTCTTTTTTTTTTTTAGACAAAGCCTTATTCTGCTACCCATTTAGAAGGCGGTGGCATCATTGTAGCTCACTGCAACCTCAAAACTCCTGGGCTCAAGTGATCCTCCTGTCTCAGCCTCCTGAGTAGCTGGGGCTATAGGTACTTGCCATGATGCCCAGCTAATTTTTTTATGTTATGTAGAGATGGGGTTTTACTCTTGCTCATGCTGGTCTCAAACTCAAATGATCTCAAATGATCCCTCCACCTTGGCTGCCTAGAGTGCTAGAATTACAAGTGCAAGCTATTGTGCCTGACCCTTTTTATGTATTTCTAGAATTATATTTTGATCACTTAAACATGACTTGATTTGGTAACCCTTTTCTTTTACTGTCTACCCTCAGTGCAGCGTAGAGGCAGCCAGAGGGACCACCCATCCTAGCCGTCCGCTCTGTTAGGAAGGCAGCAAGACCCAGGAAAGGCCGGGCATGGCACAGTCACTTTGTTAAGATCTGATTGGCTAGAACTGTGCCTCCATTTCCTGACTGCTCCTAGGTCCCAAGAAATGTTGGTATGAGGCCCTATTCCGGGGTCAAGGGCAGGCAGAAGGACAGGAGAGCCAGGGCTGTATCCTGGGAGCTCTGGCGTCCAGTGAGAACCAGGACTTCTGGAGATGTGGCCAAGCTGCAGGTCCAAGAGGCAGGGGTTGCCATGGATCTGGACCTGGCTCATGGCAGGAGAGGAGGCAGTTTTGTGCCCCTAATTCGTTATTCTTCTCCTCTCTCCACTGCTCCATTCTTCAGAACTGTGACCCAAAATTTGGCTCTGGCCTCTTGAAAGGGAGACAAGCAGACCAGCCTGAGAATGGTGCACAGTTGAGGAAGCTGAGAGCAGCGAGCACTTGGTTAGCCTCTGGCTGCGTCAGACTTGAGGCACATGAATTCGGATGGGGTATTTGGTGCAAGGGGCCAGCCATCCTCAGCTTTTTCCCTAATAGAGATTCTGTCCAAGGAGTTAAAAGCCTGTTTGAAGTGTAAGGCCTAATGTAAACTGTGGACCAGGGGTGATAACACTGCCTCGGTGTAGCAAATGTGCCACTCTGGTGTGGAGTACTGATAGGGGACCCAGGGTATTTGGGAACTCTCTGTGCTTTCTGCTTAGTTTTACTGTGAACATAAAACTGCTCTAAAAATAGAGTTTATTAATTAAAAACAAACAAACAAACACAACAAAGTGCCTGTTGGGTGTAAGGCATAGTGCTGAACTTAAGACAGCCCTGGGAGAGTGGCCAGCAGCAGGGGGGTGGGGGGGAGGCCACCGTTAGTGCCAGGTCTGAGGGCTGAATGAAGTACGTCCTACCTGTGATCTGCGTGCTCCCTGCTCCACATTCCTCTAATGAATAGACTCTGTCTTCCTTCGTGCTGAGCAGCCCCAGCAGTTTCTATCATAGTCTGGCATTGTGGATTAGAGCAGCACTTCGCAAACTTTTATGTGCTTATGACTCACCCAGGGATCGTGCTAAAATTCGGATTCTGACTTGGTAGGTCTGGGGTGGGACCTGAGATTCCTCATGTCTGACCATCTCCAGGTGACTCTCAGGCTGCTGGTCAATGGTCCATAGGTGGAGAAACCAAAAGTTTGTGGCTTATGGAGTCACATCTAGATTTGAGGTTTGAATCTGGGATTTGCTAGTTAGTGACTGTGACCGCCAGCAAGTTATTTAACCCGTCTGTGCCTGTGTCTGTTTTGTCATCTGAGCCCTTCACGGAGCTGTTATGGTAGGGAGAATCAGAGAGTAAAAAGAAGCTCGGAACCTGAGATGATGAAAACAAAAACAGAGATCCCAGCTCCTAGTAGGGATCTGTCCTCAATTTCCAGCCCCAACTGTTTGCAAATTGTTCAAGCCAGGCTACCATTTACCTTGCAAGGCCCAGGGCCCTTAGTAGCAAAAAACAGTTATACAGAAAGAGAAGGAAATGTTGAATCATGACTGAGCTGCTTCTAAATCCCTGTTGTGGGTGGGATAGGGGGAAATCCTGCCACCAGCAGCTCCTTGGGGGTGCCAGCTGAGTCCCCCACAATTCCCTAGAGCAATCGGACCTCCTTCCCACTCTGTTAATTGCTGCAGACATTTTTAACAGTGACACTTTTCCAGTGCTTTTTTGAGAAAAATTTGTTAGTTAAAATGTGGCATATTGTTGGGTGGTTTTTAAAGAATTGGAAATAGCCACAACATTTGGGTTGTGGCTATCTCAGTTCTTGAAGGTATGAAATACCAAATAAAGATATTTAGGTGTTTGAGTCTATCCTGTCTTCTGCAGTTCTAGAGAATCGTGATTAGGTCTGTGGCTGAATTACAGTGAATGTTTTATCCTCCTTTTCCCAGATCTTCCTGTCTTGTAGACTGGGTCTCGCCCTCCCTGTCCTTCATGCCCTGTCATTACCGAGGAGTGGGCTGAGTGTCAGATTATTTTATTCCACGCATGGTATCCTTGCTTCTGCTTCACGGTGCTCAGCACCACTGTGCTTGGTTACATATTTATGTAATTGCTGTTTTAAAGTCTGTCTTCCCCTTGCCTGGAAGCTTGGGGTAGCAGAGCAGGCTCCTCCTCTTCACAGCCGTCTCCATGGCATGTACAGTCTCACCTCTTCAGGGTAGGTGCCTAATGGGTGTTGTCAAGCCAATCAGATTTGCCAGGGGTGGTAGGGACAGACTGGAGATATTTTGTCTAAAGAATTTGGAGAAAGTGGCTCCCTCGCAATTCTGCGACATCAGGGATCTTGATGTCAGTGTGCCTCAGCTTCAGCTCCTGGTTCTGCAGAGTGTGACTTTGGGCAGGTTTTGTTTAGACCCTCAATTTCCTCTCCTGTTAGATGGGTATGTTTCAGCCCTACGGAGTTAATGCAAGAGTTCAATAAAATAATGCCTGTGAAGCCCCGTGGCACGGTGCCTGGCACGTAGGAAGAACTCAACTAAGCGTTAGTTGTTCTAATTCCAGTCATTTTCAAGAATCTGCTAGGTAGGCATTTAGAATGATGTAGTCCTTCCTCCTCTTGTCCTCAGTTCTCTGTTAATTTCTTTACAAATTAAAAAAAGATGACAGCAGTCTTATTCAGATGTAGGCCTTCCCCAGTCCTTCCTTGTCTTGGCGGGTGCCTTGCTCTGGGGCTCACATCAAAGCTGTTCTCTCTGCTGGGTGGCCCAGGAGGATTAGTCTTCCTCTGCTGCTCCTCTCTTCCAATTCCCCTCCCCTGCTTCCTCCCACCTGGGCTCTGTGTGTGGCCTTCCTGGATGAGGGCAGATGCCAGTGACTCCATGTCTGGGCAGAGGCATGAGTCCTGTACTTTTTGCCCTGTTCTCAGCCCTGCTTTGCTGGTCCAGGATGGGTGTGGGGCAGGGGTCTAAGTGAGGCGGGGCTGAGGAGGGGCACAGCTCCCCTGGGAGTGGCTGTGAGCATCGTACGTACCTGCTGCCCTGAGCTCACCATCCTGCAGTTGTTAGTTACCTCCCTAATGAAGCTGGTCGTTAGCTTCTGGGACAGCTGATTTCCAGGGGATTATTTGTATTACACACTTTAATGCTTTTTAATAGCAAATTTTTAATTAAATGGAAAGTCCTTTTGGAAGTGAGGGAGCAGCAGCTGCAGCAAGACTCAGCGTGAGGCTCCGACTGAGACCAGAGACGCACAGTGAGGACTTGGGGAAACGTGACTGAGCTTGCCCAGGTTAGGTGGGTGGGAGGGAGGGAAGCAGAGTCTGGCTCTGGCTCCTTCCTTCTGTCCTAAATCCCTCCTCTGTCATCTGCAGGCTGAGGGAAGCAGAAATTCGTTTGCCCAAGACCAGGAGAGAACAGTTTGGGCAGGAGGACTATTAGAAGTATCACCTGCTTTTGATCCCATTCTCAGAAATACTGAGTTTGGGTGGGATTTGGGGGCTGATGACCAGATCAGGTTCACTGATGTCTGGTTCGGGCACTCTGACATGTAAACAATTGCTAGGCCCTCGATCCAGCCCTGGCAGGCCTCTTAAGTCCTCATTTGGGTGAGGAGAACCAGGGGCCTGAAGTGATGG